ACATGTACACACACACACGCACACACACACACACACACACACACACACACACACACACACTCTCTCTCATTCTCAGAGCGCTCATCCCACCTGAGAGGTAATTTCTTTCTCTTGCTGAGAGGCAGCAGAACAAAACATTAATTTATTATTCAGAAATATATTATTCATCTATTCAATTAGCTTCTGTTCTCCTCAGCCAACCTAAAGAATCAATGTGGGCAGCAGATATGATATGCACAGTCCATCGTCTGACACACACACTCACATACACACACACACACCCACACAGGGAGAGGTCAGTTAGGCTGTGATCAGAATCTGTAATTAAATCTCAGACTGAAAACCACAAACTGAACCACCAGGCAGCAGTAAAAACACACATCCTCAGATACAGATGCAAATGAGTGCAAACACACACACACATGCACATTCAGACGGAGCCTGTTCAAGAGTGATAACAAATAATGTGAGTTACCTCTTTCGTCCTCCATAGTTCACTGTAACAGACCCAAAAATAGAACTACAGCCAAGGGCCCTCCATGATCCATGTCATCCTAATAAATGCTGCGCTGATACGCCAGTGTGGTCGAAACCCTTGGCTTAGTGGTAGGAGACAGCTTCAGAGTCACTTATGTGTGAAAGGTGCTGTTTATTTTTATACATTCTCGTTAGGATAACACAAGTACATGTTAATAGTGCAGCGGCTGCATGTTTTAAAAGTCCTGTGTCAATACGGTGTATATTTATTCCAAGACAGTCAAAGTTACATACTGGTGGGATTTGCACTTTGCAGGAGTTCCAGTTTGTTTCAAACAGGTCCTGTACGTGTAAAAAATATTGTTTCCCGTGATGGTAGCCGACTTTTCACAGATCTGCAGCATACAGAACATTTCTCTTCTGGCTTTTGTGGTGCATTTTCTTGCTGACATCGTACTATTAAGCTGCACCTGCTCTTGTAAAGGTGGTCGCTTAAACTGCAGGCACTCTTGGAATATTTAATTGTTTGACACAAAGTATAGATTGTTTTTGACTAATCAGCTCAGCAGTGTTATTTTCAGTCATGGCAGCGGAGTAACTATGGTATGCTGAAGGGAACAAAAAGCCATGCTATTTTCTTTTTACATCAACTGATTTCAACTTATAGAGCATTACTATCAGTATGTCGAAGCTGACAGCCCTGGTCTAAATGCAATAACACAACAATAGTAGAACAAAAACTCCAGAGTTACTAAATTTGGTGTCTACATGTGTGCAAAGTTTTAAATCCCAAGGTAAACCTGCATTGACGTAGATGTAAACTGCTCAAATCCAGGACAAATGTACAAAAATGAAAGGATTATTTGCCCCACTGCCACAGTATAATCATGCAGATAATTGAAGCTTTGTCTTCATTTATTTGAACCCGACACCAACAAGCAGACTTGAACAAACTGGCAAGATGACAGCATTTCCCAAAACTTTAGTTTTCGCTGTCCTCTTGTTAACGACAAAGCAGCATTTTTGAAAACCTCAGTTTTTAGCAACCCTTATCTCTCGGTTCAAAGTACTTGCATGCGTATGGACTTGACCCAGAAGACACAATTAATCAGAGTTAAACAAACCCTGTTCTTTGGCAGATTGACATTGAAACCATATTTTAGCTGGTTGGAATTGAGATATTCTGACCTGGTTTGAGCCTTTTTCAACGATATTCAACCTAAAATCCTTGTTGCTGCTCACTGTTGTACTATCTAAGGTTTGCCTCTTAAATATAAGTAGACACTTTGGATTTTGTCATCAGCAAGCATTGTTGTAACAAACGTTTAATTACCTGTCAACATGCTGATGTTGTTGAACCAATTAGGTACAATTAAAAGAGATGACTCAAGTGTATAAACATGTTGTCCAGAACTTGCTCCAAGTGTCAAAAATAACCATTTGGTTTAAATTGAAAATTCACAATCATGTATCTGCTTAAAAGTTCCCAACAAAACTATTTCCATTTCTGTAAAGAAGACATTTTGTGAACAACTCCTTCTGTGCCATTTTAACCACCAAGTTAAAAACAAAAAGTGTTAATCAAAGAGGTTTGTGCCAAGAAACGCAGCATCACTCTGACACTGACCTGTGTGTCAGCAGATAGCTGATGTCAGCCTCCTCATCACTTTGGGCTCTTGACACAGCAGAGTGGTTTCCTGTAGGAATTAGCCAGAGGTGATATCCCCTTTTGTCAGAGTGTGTCAGGAAAAAAAAAACACCCATCCATTTAATACTGTGCATCGCTCAGAGCCAGCCATCATCAGAGCAGGTAGAGCTGAAGAGATGAAGAAACAGAGGGATTGGGGGATAAAGGGAGTGTGTGTGTGTGTGTGTGTGTGTGTGTGTGTGTGTGTGTGTGTGTGTGTGTGTGTGTGTGTGTGTGTGTGTGTGTGTGCAGATATTTTCAGATAGAGACATTGGGCCATTTTTTTGTCCCTCCTCAGAGAGTTTAATTATGCTTTGCATATTCATATATGCAAACACGACATGAATAATTTGCCTATCCACCTTCCTCTCGCTCTCTCTAAAGGTTAGCTCATTAATTACAGCCATACAATTAGCAGGAAATACTTTTATAATTCATTATTTGCTGGTTCTTTGGCGCCGGCATTGACGTGTTACTCACAGTGGGGTCAGCGCCCGGGACAGCTGCTAAAAGTGTCTGTAGCATTTGCATTTACCCATGTGTGCAGAGATATGAAGTTACAGAATTTCAAAATAAGAGCGCATCAGCATACCATCAAGGCGAAACCACACACAAGCAAACCAACACAAATGTCAAGACAAAAACATGCACACGTACAGACACACACACCCACAGACACACACACACACACACACACACACACACACACACACACACACACACACACATATACACACACACTCAGAGGCAGCGGTCTGAGTGTTGGTTGTTGCCTGTGGGCCTGTGGTCTTTGAACTGCCTCTCAGACTCCAGTCTGTCCAAATTCACTATGAGAGATCCAGCTCTCTGCCTGCCCAAACTACTGCAACTCAAACACACACACAAAGAAAGTAACACATGCACACAGAAAACCCAAAGACGGACGGACAGACGGACACGCAGGCAAGAAGGCGTACACGTGCACTGAAACACTAACACACACTCACACTAATGGGAACACACTCCAAATCTCTGCACCTCAGCTTCCCCCAGAACTTCTTGGAAAGTGGGTTTTGGTTTCTACCTGAAGTCAAAGATCAAACAATTACTCCCAAAACTCTGGTTATGAAATAATTTAGGAGATTATTGATCAGCCAAAATACATTTCACTTGTTATTTACTGTCAGTTATAGATTTTAAGAAACTTTAAATCTCAAGGAATCCACATGTATACGGTGATTTCTGGAAAATAAACACAGGGCTGTGAGAGTCCGAAAATAAATGGGCCAAAGTCAAGCACTGGGAATAAGTCATCATTGGAAACCAACATCACTCTGCAGGTTTAGGCAGTTTTGTTTGACCACTGTTCTTGGGTAAGGGTTGCTTAAAAATTAAAGATCATTGATCTTGTTGCTGATGGTCTTATTTTCTGTTGTACGACATGAAAAGGGTGCATTAATGGATATGAATAAACTCCTCACTGAATCTTAACCTTCAGTCACCTCAAAGCAACAACAAAGTGAGCCTGCAGCCTTCTTTCTATCACAGCCAGGATGTCTGTCAGTCAAGTCAGCTGTTTCCCTTATTACGATGTTAACAGGCCTCCTGATTCGGGTGGGAGTCCCCTTTATTTAAACCCTCTCTCCTGCTTCATTTCTAGCTTGTAGTTTCTCCCTGTCATCTCCCAACTTCAGCTCAATACCAACCAAACGGGTGCTCGTCAGTTTTGATGTAGGGTGTGTTTCATTAGACCTGGTAATCACCACTCTAGATAAATACTCTGCATTTTGTAAAGTGTGTAGTAAGGCTGGTGTTTAATTGTGGACACATAACTCGTGTTGGTTGGTTTTTATTTCAAACTTGTTGTATAAGGAGGACACCTTTTCTTTTTTTCTTCTAAAATAGAAGAGACAGCACACAGACTTTATGTCAAAACATGCAGAAGTTGTTATTCCCGTTGTTGCCTTTACAACACTGAGTCAGCGGGCGTTTCAGGTGATAAAAGCCTCATTTTCCCACCATGTTTAATGCAAAGTGAACAATAAGACTCGATAACGGTTTCCTTTGGTCAACAAACCAAAGGCTGGAACACTTTTCTGTCACTGCGGCGTACGGCAGGTAATTTCTCCTCCCTCGTGTGAAGGCCTGGCATCTTCTCACTTTGATCCTCTCCCTCTCCTCGCGCTGTGAAATGAGAGGCGATGTGACTACGCCACCGTACGCCGCCGTGTGTCTCAGCTTTAAAGAGGCGCGTTTCTGTGCAGAGCAGCCTGTCCTGTTCGCTTTCTCCTGAAGACTAATTTACCCACGCTGCCTCTCATGTAACACTGCGGTAAAGGAGTTGTTGACTTCCACGCAGACGGGAAGGTGTGCGTGTAAAGACCTGTCAGTTTTTGTGTGTGTTTGTGTGTGTGTGTGTGTGTGTGTGTTTGTGTGTGTCTGAGGGAGAGATATAGAGACAGGATGACGCGTGGGCGTTTGAAGAGTGAAAGGAAACATTCTCCCGCTCTCTCCTCCCATTAAACATATTTGTACATTTCATCGCCAATAAAAACAGCAAATCAATCTCATCCAGCGCTCTTCAGAGGGCGCTTTGAAGTCTTCTTAGTAAATGACCTCCCACTTTCCGTATCAACCCGACACCCCCACACCCCTGAAAAAAAAAAGACTAGTGCAATATTTATCTCACTTCACAAAATTTTAAGTTTTTTTCTTCTTCTTTTTTTAAGGAAAATCCTTGAAATTTTCATCAAAAGCATTCTAATCAGGCACTCCTCAGGTCAGCTAATGAGTTGGCAGGAGTGGGGCCCTCGCCGGGCGGTTCTCTTCAAAGGGCTAGCTCATTAGCGTTAGCGGCTCTGATTATGATACTTTCACATGCTCCCCCTCACAGGCTCTCTCTCACACACACACACACACGCACACGCACACACAATTGCCAGCTCACTGATGCTGTCTCTCTCACTTTCACACACACACACACACACACACACACACACACACACACACACACACACACACACACACACACACAGAGAGAGAGCGAGAGAGAGAGAGAGAGAGAGAGAGCTGTCATTAGCCCCGTTAGCATCATTAGCATCATTAGCAGCCAAGGTCAGTGTTTGAAGCCAGACAGACGAGCGACCTCCATCTTCCTTCATCAGCCTTTCAAAATGTCTCCAAACCACAGCTAAAAGTTACAGCTGCTATCAGGCCATGAGAGGAAGGGGTGAAGGAAAGGAAGAAAGGAGAAAGGAAAGTCAAGGAAAGGTGGAGGAGGTGAAAAGAGAGCAAAACAAAGTGTGCTTCATCCGATGAAGTCAGAAAACCGAACAAAAACAAGAGGATGTTAAAAGAAGAGGGGAAAGGTGGATGGATGTCATTGTAAGGAAAAAAAGGAAGAAGGGAGGGATTTGCACAGGAAAAAATGGGAAAGAGAAGGAGGAATATGGAGGAGAAGAGGGGAGGGAATGAGTTAAAAGATGAGGTGGAAAAGAAAGAAAATCTACTGATGCAAAACTAAGAGAGAGCAAAATAAGTGGATTTAAAAGGAAAGACCAAAAAAAAAATTTGAGACAGAAAGGGAAAAGAAGTGGTGGAGGAAATAATATATCTAGGAGTGTGAGGGGGAAAGGATGAAAGACAAAACTGGGATTTTAAAGAAAAAAAAATAGTTGAAATTGAAGAAATGGAGGGCTGTATGAAAGAGAAGAGAGAAATAGAGGGATATAAAAGAAAAGAGGTATAAGGAAGGAAAAGAAAAGGAGGGTTGAGCAAAAGTTGAAAGACAAGATAGGGGGATGAGGATGGAAATTTAGAGAGAAGAAAATGAGGGTAGAAAGAAAAAAAAGTGATAGAGCGATCTGAACAAAAAGAAGATAAAAATGAAAAAAGAGAATGTAAAAATAAAGAAAAGGAAAAGTGGTCGGAGGGATAGACGAGAATAAATTCAGGTAAAAGAAAGGTAAAACTACAGAGTGAAATTAGATGGTGTAAGAAAAAAAAAACATAATCTTGTTGCTCCTTTGACCCAAGACTTTCCAGGACTCTATAAATGAGTGTTTCCCTCCATCTTTCTTCAGCAGCAAAAAGGGATTCACCAGGACTCCTCTGAGGATTAATTAACAAGATGAAAAAAGACCTCATGGACGGATGTCCGTGGATTACTGGGCCTCACGTTTGCTGTGAAATGACATCACCTCTGTGTCTTTGTGGGGACTCTAAGTTTGTAATTCCACCTTTATCTTGAAAGCATGGATGCCAGCTATTGAATAAGATTAAACTAATTCATTTATTTTAAATCTTTTTTATCATTTGGAGATCATCTATAAAGCTTGTGTTGTGTGTAACTTTGCATGTTTTGATATAATCTCCTATATTTAATTTAACTCAGCATTCAGTTTCAACAACCACAAAAACTGATCAGAGACAAAAGTAAAGACTTCACCTCGTAAACCTGGTGCTTCTTAGCCCATAGAGGGTGCCACGACTGCAGGTCATTGTTTGTGATTGGCCCACAGGGGTATGTATACCGAAGTGGCAAAATGAAGTGTGCCCCTGCCTCATTTATAGAGTTTTCATGAGAAATTTAATAATCAAAGTTTTTACCTTTAAACATGTATTTAAAGTGGGGGAATAGATCCTATAAAAGAGATATCAGGATGTTTTCAGCTAAAATAGCAGAAATTAAACTGCTTTTTGCTGCTTTTCAGGCCCAAATTCAGAGACTGCATTTCTTTAAAAGAAACTGAAACTAAGATTTGAACTGAGGGGAAACTTGTCTTTCTCTCTTATCCTCCTCCTCCTCTTTCTCTCTCTCTCTCTCTCTCTCCATCTTTCTGGCTCTCTGTGGTTAGTGTGTGTGTGTGTGTGTGTGTGTGTGTGTGTGTGTGTGTGTGTGTGTGTGTGTGTGTGTGTGTGTGTGTGTGTGTGACAGAGGCCCCGGGCTGACTAATGGCTGTGGGCGAGATGTCTGGAGGACGGATCGGCCCCTCTAATTCACTGCTGCTGGACACACTGGATTTAACCCGGACTGACTGCAAGTGTGTGTCTGACGCAGTGTGTGTAAATGTGTTTGAAAGCTGGAAACAGAGAGGGAGACGGAGTCTGTTCTGCTGTTTGAGTACACACATGTACATGTGCGTGTGTGCGTTCCCAGAGAAAGCCTATTGAAAAGCCTCACTCCAGTCTATCAGATTAGCTCCATTAGCGGATTAGCCGGATTAGCGGGTTAATTGCACTCTGCTGCTGCGTTGGTGCACAGAGGCTAATGACGGCTAACGCTGTTAATCACACACACAGCCGCGTTAGCCAGCTACAGCCACGTCTGGCAACATGGCACACATAGGGGGGAAGCAGCGTGCAGTAGCTTCCCATGAGGATTAGGAACAAGACATGTTTGGATTAAATATCTAATGCCAAGAACTTTATTTTCTGCATGATTATCCGTTTTTTTCATGAACTGCTGCTGTCTGTGTTTGTCTGTACTCTCTGCTGGAACACTTACCCACAATGTTTTCAGAGCTTTAAGGTGTAACAAAGATTTTTTCTTAGTTCATGCAGTGATTTCAAAAAGATATTATGCAAAAAAAATACATCTTTAAAGGGAGATTTTGTTGCCATTATTCAAATTTTAAGTCTTCATTTTGCTGATAAAGAAAAGTTGCACATCTTTCAGCAATATTAACGTATAAAGGACACAGAGAGGAAAATAAAAAGAGCATATGCTTCATTAAAAAGTCCCTTTGCTAAAATACAGAGAAAAAGTTCACAATTGAACTATTTAAAAAATTGCTTTTCTGTGTTGATACAGTGAGGTATTAACTCAACCCTTACTCACATCGACTTTTTTGTCTTTTGACTGTGTTGTTGTAAAAGTTTATTTTAAAGTCACCTTAGCAGAAACAGAGGGCAACATTTGTAAGTATTTAACATGAGAGATATTTGTGTTAAGTTGATAGTTGGTCAGACTGATTCTTAACATTTTCATTGGTATAGGATTAAAATGTTGATCACATGTTGTTGAAGCTTTATCTCAGCCTCCCGCTGCCAGCCGTAGCCACTGCTAAGATACACATGACAGATCCGTCCTCACTGTATGGCGTGTTGTTTGGCCATGGTTTTATCTTTAAAATTGGAGATTTACTTGTTTTTAGGCTGTGTCTGGTGATGCATCACAGTCATAAATGTGCACGGCTGGCTGAGAGGTGTTCTTACTCATTAATATTGTTTCATTGCAGACCACTGTCACTTCACCAGTGGGAGGTTTTTTAGTCTAGAATCTGACTGCTTGATATCACTAAATTTCTCCTGTCAAATCAGATCAAGGATAAGTAAAATATCTGTGATTACAAAGAAATAAAATCACTATGTATAAGGGCAAAGGTTGTCCAGTTTGAGATGAATCAAGACACTTCAGACTACAGGATGTGGGACAGTTTTCAACCCTGGTCCAGCTGGGAAAGCAGGCATCCATGCACAGGGGCTACAGTTCGATTTCAGGTCCCTGTCAAAGTCTCTCCATAGCACATCTTCCTTTTTTGCAGCAGAAATAAGTTGTAAAGCCAAGTTTTGCTGAAGCACTTTTCTGAATCATGTATTTAAATCAATGGGAGTGAACAACAGAGTGTTTGTACGCTGCATGGGCGCATTTTCAGGAGAATATGCCAAATATACCGTCATTATAAAGCCACGGGCACAGTTTGACTTCATTTTCTTTGCCAGACTAGCTCTCTCTGCACTCCCCCTACCTCAATCGACCCCCTGCTTATTGTTTACTTTATCCTGGGCAGCTCAGAGAGAAATGTAAATGTGTGCACGGATAAACAGTGTTTGAAACAGCATGTGGCTGCAGAAACAACTACAAAAAAATTAATATTTACAACATGCCACAGTAAAAGTGTCTCACACAGGTGGTGCTGTTCGTCTCTGATGTAATGCAGTTTGATTTGAAAAGTATGGACTGAATAAACAGAGTTGATAAGGTTACACTTTGATCTAGTTTCACACAGAAATATCCAGAAAATTCAACATTACTATAATTACCAAGAATTTGACTCATTGTACTGCATGTGTTTGTATGAGTAGTACTTTCAGTACACAGGCTTATACAGTGACAATAGAAAGTTAAAATATAGGTGATATTTTACTATTTTCATATTACTTTTGGATTGTTATTTGGGGCTTTCAGCATTTTGTAATTCCATGTAATTTTGTCTCTTTCAGCACACTGTAGCCACTGCAGTGTCTATGTGTCCATGATGGAACGTCATTACTGGGCTCAAAAAAAAAAATAAAAAAAAGAGAGAGAAACATCTCTGTGTCGAGCTGAGTGAATGTTGTAAAAGTACTGAAAGTTTGAGTTACCAACCCTGAGCTGAGCATACAGTTGTAGCTGATCAGACCGATGTCAGCAGGTGACCAGGTCATAAAACTTGGTAGAAGACTGTATCACAGCACCTATTGTCCCCTAAGAGCCTGATGATGCAGACCACCTGAATTCATTAAACTTCTTTAATAAAAGTATGTCATGTATCTTCTATTAGCTGTAGAAATTTAGAACCTGATACTAATGTTTTACTGATACTGGCTGTTTGATACACATGCCAACTAGCGAGTATTGGGACTTGTTTTTGTCCACGTAAGGCTGACACACTGTAGCTGGCACTAACCTTTAAATCCTGGTTATAGACCTCACTGGTGTAGCAGTCCAGGATATATTTAAATTATAAAACTAAAAGTTAAGATGATACAGTTGATCCAATTGCATTAATTTCATTCCTAAATAAAGACACTGATCAGAACTGCTTTTATTGTTAAAATGGACTTTAAAAATTTTAGTATATTGTTTTAAATTTTGTGTTGAACTTTAGTTTTGGACATTTGTTCCAATGTGACCTTGTGCAATCATGGCTAATCAAATTAAATTGATCTGAAGTTTTGATAGAATTACATTGAATAGAATAGAGTTGAATTGAACTGAATTACCTTGAATTGACCTGAATGGACTGAAGGAAATGGAAAAGAATGTAATGGAATAAAATTGACTGAATAGAATTGAAAATAGGTGAGTGGAATGGAATTAGAAAAAAGAGAAGAAATGGAGTGGAATAGAATAAAATAAAAAAAATCATAGTTTGAATAATAAAATGAAATGGAATGGGGTGGATTGCAATTAATTGAATTGAAGTGAATGGGATTAGATTTGATTGAATGGAATGGAATAAATTTGAAATAAACTGAATTAAATACAGCTGAATTAAATTGCATAGGAATTACTTTTACACTGCTGTTTTGTTCTTGATTATTCAAAAGTTTATTATGACACCTTGGGATCAGTTTTCATGCCTGCCACTGGTGTTGCACACTCAGCGCAGTGATATTTTAGTCCGGCGCAGCTCCGTGCACAGCCAGTTTGGTATTTTGGTAGACTGAAGCGCACCAAGATGCGCCAAGCTGGGTGTGGCAACATAGTAGGGGGAAATGTTAACAGAATCAGCTGTCGCAGTGACATTTTAGGGCCCGGCAGCGGCAGCATAGAAAGTGCGCTGAAAGCTCGCCGATTCAAACCTGGTCATCTTTCAACCCAGGCGCAGCGCAGCTGGTCTAGTGGCATTTTACTAGACCAGCGGCGTAGTGCACACACGTCACCAACGCCTCACAGGCAGGTTTCCCCAGTGTCAGGCACATTTCAATGCAATAAATAATCAACAACAAACAATATTTAGTGCAACTATCTGAGTCAGCACATACATTTAGAGCTATATCGATATATTCTGATCTACATCTGATCTGAGGAGCACGTTTGGACACTCCACCTGACCGAATTAACACAGCTGAAACCACATTAACTTAAATATCCAGTAAATAGTTACACATGATGGAGTTAATAAGATATTTAATTCGTACCCCCACCCCGTTTCTCTCTTCCTCTTTCTTTTCTCTCTCACGCAGCTTGACCCGGACACTCTCTCCGTCCTGCTGCTGTGGTGGCAGGCTGACCAGATTATTTATTTTAGTGATCAGATGAGTTATTTACTTTGAAAATTTGAACAAAGAAGTAAAAGAAACTTTCATTCAAAATAACCTGTTTATCTAATATCCTCACATCCTTAAAACTATGTGAATATTTAATCGGGAGTTAGGTTTACATATGAATATTATAATATTCAGCTGTGTGAGCGAAATTCATTTTATATGCAAACATCTATGAATGAAAGAGCCAGGCCACGGAGCGTGATGCGTCCTTTACACACAGGTGGTTCTGGTTTTAATGCCATTATTGGAGGACAACCTGCCTTAGTCACGTGGGGTTTAAATATATGCAACTTGATGTGATTGTCTCTATTTGTGAAAAAGGATGCTTGCCTTACCAGTGGGTACAACATTACACACACCAAATCGCCTTGCCAGTTGCAAATTTAAAGGTGGGAGGGGAGCTGATGTGATTGGTGAAAACAGGACTCAGCTGTGTTAAACTCACTCCACACCGTCTACCCTCCCTCTTTCCTACTTGCGCCGGTGGGAGGAGCTGAGTTAGGGATGTGGGCTACTTGCGCCAGGCTGCACCGCTCACCAAAATACCAAAGTGTGCTTGGGCACGCCTGATCAGTGCAGCTGACCTAACTTACACCACACCTGCGCCACGCCACTGGTGAGACACGGAATGGGCCACTTGTGTCTTTTTCAGGTCTAACTGAAAATTTTCAGGCTTAAATTCCATCAGCTGATGAAAACATATTGATTAATTGACCCAGAGTGTAAGAGAATCTAGACGTATTAGTGAGAAATAAGGCACTCATGCTAATTGGTGTATTTTCTTAGTTTATAATTAAACTGCTGCGGTGCTGTCATCTTTATGTGAATTTCAGTCCTGGATGCACATCGCTGGTTGACGTGTAAACAAACCTCAGATCAACCCCAATCACCACTGCCACACAAACGAACAGAGTGAGGTAATCGGTCAAAGCGGCGATACGTGATACACCGCTGATGTGGTGTTGGGAGGTGAGCGAGCACACTGTTATTGATGCAGTAGCCAATGAGGTTTGACACATGGCTGCAGGACAGGAAATGCCAGGGGTTGTGGGTAAAATGGGTGTTAGCGAGAGTGTGCAGGAAACCAGAAACTAACCCACACACCTATGTGCAAGACTTGCACGCCAAGACACACACACACACACACACGCTTTCCATATATTCTGCGGGCACCTCGGCCTCATTAAGGGGAAGTGAAGGGCTCCCTGCTCATCTTTAAAAGATAAAACAAAGTGCTGTGATGTCATCCCTCATCAGCCTGCGCTGAGGAGACGAGGAGCACTTTAGCAGAAAGAGGCGAGTGTGTGATCGCCTGAACGCACAGACCTCCCTCTGACACTCTCCTGCTTT